CAAGTTTCTTCGCAAACCTTGTGATCCTTCGAGCCTCGAGCCTTGCTCTCTGAGACCAGACCTCCCCCTTCTCAGACAAATCGTCAAGTTGAGCTTCATTTCCAGAAGATTCTCATCACCTTCAAGATGGTCTCTGCCAAGTCAGTCACTTTGTTTGGCAGCATGCTGCTAGGCAACGTCATGGGCGCCGACAACATGGGCCCGGCCGCTTTCCTCTGGTAAGCATATCTTCTCCACTGCATCTTGCAGGCTTCAACGAAGATCGGCAGCTAACCAGAATATCATCAGGCCCCCAGACCGTGAGTGGTCTGCCGACGCCGACAACACGGCCCCTTGCGGATCCACAAACGGCCCCGGTGTCCGCACCGAGTTCCCTCTCGGTAAGTCGACATATCCTGCAGAGACTCGGACAACTCTAACATCGAACCAACGTAGTGAACGGCAAGCTTGCCCTTGTGACCCAGGACATTACCCGCTCCGTCCACCTCAGTGTCTCCTACGAGAACGGTACGTGCAAATACAACGCCCTTCTTTCTTCCACCCTTTGCCTTGGAAACATATACCTAACATCCACCACGCAAACAGACCCCAAGTCCGTCTCCGACTTCGAAACCTTCCTCGGCCCCAGCGAGGTCGGCAGCCTCGACCTCGGCCACACCTGCGTGACGGTCCCCAGCGCGCCCTCAGGAACCGCCGCCGGTTCCAACGCGACCTACCGCATGCTCTACGTCTCCAACTTTGACCAGGACGAGTCCAAGCGCGAGACCTACTACGCCTGCGCCGACGTCACCTTCGTCGAGGTCTTTGCCGCCTCCATCCCCTGCTTCAACGCCACCGTCAGCGACCCCGACGTCGACGTTGACACCACCGTCAACGTCACCACCACTGACTCGGGCGGCAACACCCCGCACACCGCCGCAGACTTCACCGCCACCGGCGAATCCAAGAGCTCCGGTCTCTCCAAGGGCGCCATCGCTGGTGCCGCTGTCGGTTCCATTGCCGGTGTCTCTCTGCTCGCCCTTGCTGGATTCTTCTTCTGGCGCAAGAAGGCTGCCAAGAAGGAGGCTGTTACTGAGCCCATGCAGCAGCGCTGGGATGCCGAGAAGGCTGTCAGTGACACTTCTTCCGTCAACAGCCGTCCCCAGCACTAAGCTTGCCCCAACCCGACTTCAGCGCATGGCGTTGCCTTTGGTGGCAGTGTCAACTATGCGCTTAACATAATCATGGAACGAGAGATGATATGATTGACGTAGATCATGAAGTAGCAAGTATAAAGGTAGAGATCCCGCTTAATATCTCGCTCTTAACCAACATGTGTCCCTGAATTCGATGCCGATGGCCGTGTTGAAGAAAATAAAAGTGATGTCTTCCTGTTTTGCTGATGCATGTTCTTGATGCAATTAGGCGAGATTTCTCACTGGACGAGTGCCCCGCACTACCGCCCGCTCTGATGCATCCACCTCCAGGCAGCATCCCCAAGGCAACCGCTCCACCGTTGAACTTCAACGGCCTCAGGTAAGCCGCAATTGAAGGGTATAAGTCCTCAAGGCCCTCAATGTGACGGGATCCGTTGCGATGTCACCCAGCTATTCCATGCACAATCAACTGATTATATTCCATTCCGCCTGATAACATCTACAACGCAAACTTTCCCACTAAATCATCACCAATTCTCCGTCGCCAACGGCTCCCAATTCTCTCGCGAGTTCACGCAGTGAATTGCCCATCATGAGCCAGCGCAAGCGACAAAAGTCGCCAGACGCGGCGGCGATTGATGAGGAGGAGAGGCAGTATGCTATCGGGGGAACCACACTCGAAGAATTGGACGAGAAGTGAGTCTTCTTTCTACCCTTCCTTGGCCTGGGAGCTGACACGGCCCTGCAGGTACCCAAATCGCCCACGCAATCATTCAAAAACGATGCGCTTTTCGGAACTCTTCCAAAGCCTCTTCAATCCTTTGAACGAGAACAAGAAGCAACCAGCCGGTCGCGGCCCACCTCGCAGCAAAAAGGGCCCCCACGGACCACACAAGCTATCGCCGCAGGAACAGAGACGGCACCTCATTGAGCGCTTTATTTCCAGATGGCGAAACGAGGTGGGAAACGACATCTACCCGGCTTTGCGACTCATCCTGCCCGACAAGGATCGGGATCGCGGCGTCTACGGCTTGAAGGAGAATGCTATTGGCAAACTCCTCGTCAAGCTTATGAAGATCGACAAGAACTCGGAAGACGGCCACAACCTCCTTCACTGGAAGTTGCCGGGTCAGACTACCTTCTCTAGACTGGCTGGCGACTTTGCGGGCCGGTGCTTCGAGGTCCTTTCTAAGCGGCCGATGCGGACAGAGGTCGGTGACATGACGATTGCCGAGGTCAATGAGTTGCTGGATAAACTCGCTGCGTCGACGGGAGAGCTGGAGAACCTGGAGGTCTTTGAAATCTTCTACGAGCGCATGAATGCAGAAGAACTTATGTGGTTGATCCGCATCGTGCTCAAGCAGATGAAGGTCGGCGCGACCGAGCGGACCTTTCTCGATCTGTGGCATCCGGATGGCGAAGCCCTGTTTAGCGTGTCGTCGAGTCTGCGACGCGTTTGCTGGGAGCTTTTTGACCCGAGGATACGTCTGGAGCAGGAGGATACGGGTGTCACCCTTATGGAATGTTTCCAGCCCCAGCTGGCACAGTTCCAGATGCCATCTTCCTTCCAGAAGATGGTCGATTACCTCCGGACTACAGAGGAGGATCCCGAGTTCTGGATCGAGGAAAAGTTAGACGGTGAGCGCATGCAGATGCACATGGCCGAAGACCCGAGCGTTCCGGGAGGGCTGCGATTCTGCTTCTGGTCTCGCAAGGCGAAAGATTACACCTACCTCTACGGTAACGGATTGAAAGACGAGAAGGGAGCTCTGACTCGCCATCTGGCGAATGCTTTTTCCGAAGGAGTCCGCAACGTCATTCTAGATGGAGAGATGATTACTTGGGACCCGGAAGTCGACAAGATCATGCCGTTCGGCACCCTCAAAACAGCCGCTCTAGCCGAGCAGAATAACCCCTACAACAACACAGGGCCGCGACCGCTTTACCGCGTCTTCGACATCCTCCTACTGAACGATCAGCCTCTGACCCAGTACACGCTGCGGGATCGTCACCGTGCCCTGGAAAAGGCTGTGAAGGGTGTTCATAGGAGACTGGAGATCCACGAGTACGAGTCTGCGACGACACCCGAGGCCATCGAGCCGCTCCTCCGCAAGGTCGTCGCCGAGGCATCAGAGGGCTTGGTCCTCAAGAATCCGAGGTCAATGTACAGACTCAACAGCCGCAATGACGACTGGTTGAAAGTCAAGCCGGAGTACATGTCTGAGTTCGGAGAGTCGTTGGATTGTGTCGTTATTGGCGGCTACTACGGCTCCGGACACAGGGGTGGCGCCATCTCCAGCTTCTTGTGCGGTCTGCGTGTTAGCGAAAACCATATCCACGCTGGTGCAAACCCCGAGAAATGCTTCAGTTTCTTCAAAGTCGGCGGCGGCTTCACAGCTGCCGACTATGCGGAGATCAGGCATCGGACGGACGGGAAATGGACCACGTGGGACCCGAAAAAGCCCCCCGTGGAATACATCGAGCTCGCCGGCGGCGACCGTCAGTTCGAAAGGCCGGATGTCTGGATCCGACCCAGCGACTCTGTCGTCGTGGAGGCCAAGGCCGCGAGCATCGGCAACTCGGACCAGTTCTCCCTCGGCTTCACCCTGCGATTCCCCCGCTTCCGCAAGCTGAGAACCGACAAGAACTGGGACGAGGGCCTCAGCGTGCAAGAGTTCCTGGACCTACGGCGACGCGTGGAGGCAGAGGCCAAAGAAAAGACCATGAGCGTCGAGAACCGCAAACGCAAGTCAGTAAAGCGCGTCAAGCGCGAGGTCGTCATCGCCGGGACGGAGAACATGCCTGCGCAGTTCCAGGCAGATAAGTCCAAGATATTCGAGGGCCTCGAGTTCTGCGTCCTGTCGGAGTCGCTCAAGCCGTTCAAGAAGACCAAGGCACAGCTTGAGACCCTTATCAAGGAAAACGGCGGCCAGGTCTCGCAGCGGGCTGTCCCGCAGTCTGGTATGATTCTCTTAGCGGACAAGAACGTCGTCAAGGTAGCGAGTCTAGTCAAGGAGGGGCAAAAGGGCAACGGCGTCGACATCGTTAGGCCAAAGTGGATTCAAGACTGTCTCGAACAGGCTGATGAATCTCTGCTGCTTCCCTACGAAGAGCGACACTTATTGCATGCGACGGAAGCTCTCAAAACTGTTGCACTGCAGAACACGGATATGTATGGGGACAGCTACGCCCGCGACATCAGTCTTGTTGAGCTGCGCGAAGTTCTCAATATGATGCCGAAGAAAGAACCCGATACGGAGCCTTTTAACAAGACGCAATTTCTCAATCAGCTTGAGGAGCGTGGACGCGGGGTAGGCCCAATGAAGGGATCAATGTTTCATCGTTGCGCCGTTCACCTGGTCAACGTTCAAGAAGAATGTGATGAGGTCGAGATCAAGATGTTGAAGCTTAGGAACTATCTGACCTTTGGCGGCGCACGCTTGATCAGCGATGCCGAAGACACGGAGACTACGCACGTGGTTGTGGTAGGAGACGGCATCCGGCGGAAAGACGCGGCCGCTGCTATGCGGGAGGAAGTCAGTCATAGGCGTAAGGTTCCACACCTCGTGACTGCAGAATGGGTTGAAGATTGCTGGCGAGAGAAGACGTTGCTGGACGAGGAGAAATATACGCGAGTATGAGAGAGATGACGGTATTGGGTCCGACGGTGGATGAATTGCTTATTATACCCAGGATACATGACACTTTAGTACCAATCCCAGCATACAGAAACCTTTCTATGAGGTGCCATTCATGACCAATCTATGAGGTAATTGATATCCAAGGCTAGATGAGCAAGCCCAATCACACACTCGCCGTCATCCTACCCGTCTCAGGTAGCAGCAATCCGGCCCCCTTTTTCATTTATTTTCCAATTGTAAGGAACAGCCGATCACCAACATCACCTACACCGGGCTTTAGCATGCCCTTGTCCGTCAACTCGGCGTCCACGCCAGCAATGTAAATGTCCGTCGCGTCGGCCCACTCGCTCGCGGCGCGCTTGACGCCCTCGGCGGCGCCAATGACGGAGAGGACGACGATGCGCTTGACGCCCCACTCACGGAGGGTCTGGATGGCGGCGGCGCAGGTGCCGCCGGTGGCGATAACGGGGTCAAGGACGATGGCGAGCTCGGAGGCGCCGGCGTTGGAGCCGTCGGGGGAAACGTGGTTGGGGAGGTTGTTGTAGTATTCTACGGGCTCGAGGGTCGAGGGTTCGCGGTAGAGGCCTAGGTGATGGACTGCTACGGGCGTGGGGAGGATGGTTTGGACGGCTATTGTTGATATGTTAGTTCTGAGCTTCAGGTTGAACAATAGATGTCTGGTGTTGGAGGGGTAGTTACCTTCTACCATGCCGAGGCCTGATCGCAGAATGGGGACGAGGCAGAGGCTGGAGGGGGAGATTGTGGTTGATGTGAAGTCGAATCCTAGCGGGGTAGAATCCTGGGCGAGGAGTGTCAGTCCCGGTGCTTAATTGTAACACGAAACAGCTTTGGAAGAAGGGATAATTACCTTTGATCCATCTGTCGCTTTTGTGGAGGCGCCGAGGGCCTCGTATGCTACCATCAACGCAATATCATGCACCAGCGTCTTCACCTCTTTCGCCGGCGTCGACTGGGACCGCAATTGGGACAGCTTCGCCCGGAGACAGGGGTGCTGGGAGACGTGCACGTTGGCAGGGAGCTCGGGTGTTGAGGAAGACATGGTGTAAATGGGGGTATGTAAAAACGTAAGTATGGAATTAGACACGAATACGCTGAAGCATTGAACGGTGACCAGATGAAATAAAGTAAAGGAGGAATTGTCAAATTTAAGTAAAATGAGGATTGGGAGTTTACCGTCGATATCGACGAGAGAGGTTGGTGGGGAGGCCGGAGCGAGCCACTGAGACCAGCAGGCAGTAGGAGGAGGAGGGGTCCCTTCCTTGTCCTCCTGATCAGCGCCGGTACCTTGAGTGGGTCCTGCATGCGGAGGGAAGCTCTGGATAAGATAAGCCCTTGAAGGTCCGACGCCCAACGCCCGCCCTTTTTTTTTTTGGAACTGGGGGCTGCCACCAGGTCAACTCCGGCGTCCGGCAAGGCTTTCGGAGGTCGCCGTCATGCATGTTTTAGTTGGAGCCTTTCCATAAGATAGCTGGCAATGCATGGGTGACGAGATATAGGGGATAGCAACTGGCAAGTTATTAGTAACATCTTCTTCCCGACTTGTTGTCCTTAACCTGTCGTCCTGCCTGAAGCTGTTTAGCTTAGGATGTTGGGCCCCTCCATCCCTCCTCGCACTGACTTACCTTATCGAGTTGGAATGTCACCGCCTCGGTGTACTCCGCCTTTCCTCGGTGAGGATGACCCCACCAACGAGCTCGGGCCATCGGTGAGCGGTGTGTGGTGAGCAAAACCGGGAGTCCCGAGATATCCGCCTCTGCCGCCAAGACAAGGTTGTCTGGGGATGACGTTCCCGCTACAGCAGGCGTTTTTGTGGCATCTTTTGTTGACGCGACTACTGATCAACCTTCTTTTCCCGTTGACGATATTGCCGATTACCCGGAATTTCCACGATCCCGCAATCTTTTGATTATCGAGACCCGCGCGATTTAAATACCGAACAAGACCACACAAATTCCGGCCATGAATCGAAACGCGCCGACGACGAAATCTAGAGACGGAACTCGTGATGCAAGGCGGAAACGAAATAAGGCACGCCAGCGGTGCTGCCGCGGATGAGAAAGATCTCGCCCAGATGGGTACTACCAGTGGGCAGGCCCATCCAAAGAGCAAGAATACACAAAGTGGGCAATCGGTCGGGTACGATGCGCCTGAAGACTATGGCAACCTCGACGAGATGGTCGCCGACCCTGTCGCGCATAAACCCAGGCGGCATCGTCCGGGAAGAGGCGAGAGCCTGGAGGAGATGCGATCGCCTCCGCGGCCCTCCGATCTCGAAATGCAAGACACAACAACGCCTGACGAGCAAGACGAGCCCGAAACCACAACCTCGAAACCTACAGCACACGTCTCTAGGTTGGCCACGGAGTTGTATACACTCTCATACCTCGTCTTCTTTGCCATTTTCGGCACGATTGCCCGTCTGGGCTTGCAGGCTCTGACACTCTACCCCGGCGCCCCAGTCTCCTTTGGTGTGCTGTGGGCCAACGTCGGCGGCAGCCTGGCCATGGGCTTCCTGATCGAAGACCGCAAGCTCTTCAAGCAGGAATGGGGTACGCCCAACTACCACAGAGAGATCATCAAAGCCCGGCGCCACGGAGAGCAGGCAGACGACGGCGCCGCCTCCAGCGATCTCGCGGCCGCGAAGAAGGCGCATCTCGCAACCAAGAAGACGATACCGCTCTACATTGGCCTCTCCACAGGCTTCTGCGGCTCCTTTACCTCCTTCTCCTCCTTCATCCGCGACGTCTTTCTCGCCATGGTCAACGATCTTCCTCGCGCAGGTGGCGCGACCCCCGAACCGCGGGCCGGAGGGCAGTCCTTCATGGCGATGATGGCCATCATCATCGCCACTGTCGCCCTAAGCCTCTCGGCCCTCATCTTCGGTGCACATCTCGCCATCGCGCTTGAAGGGATCACCCCGTCAATCCCTTACCTCCTCGGCCGGAAAGTAATGGACCGCTGCGCTGTTCTCTTCGGCTGGGGCGCTTGGCTCGGCGCGGTCCTCCTCGCCGTCTGGCCGCCGCACGACGCCTGGCGAGGGCGCGTTGTCTTCTCCATCGTCTTTGCGCCGCTCGGCTGTCTCGCGCGCTTTTACGCCAGTCTGCTGCTCAACGTACGGGTGCCGGCGTTTCCGATGGGTACCTTTGCGGTTAATATTGCAGGTGTTGCCGTGCTGGGTATGTGTTGGGACCTGGCGCACGCGGGGCTGGGCGGTGTGGTTGGGTGCCAGGTGTTGCAGGGCGTTGAGGACGGGTTCTGCGGGTGCTTGACGACTGTCTCGACGTGGGTTGCTGAGCTGACTGCGCTGCGGCGACGACATGCTTACGTATACGGCCTGGGTAGTGTTGTGGTGGGGTTTGCGGTCATGGTCATTATCATGGGTGCTGAGAAGTGGACGGATGGATTCGCGCCGTTGATGTGTACCCATTGAGCTGTTATGCGGGCTCTAGGCTGTTCATAAGCAGTCGTTCTGACTCATTAAATCGCAAGATATAGAAACCACATTGAGCATCCATCTAGTGTCTTGATGTTGGACTTCACCCAGCAGTCTGTAGCCGAACAATGAACCTCCTCTACGGCACTTAAATCACGATTAACGTGGCCACGCCCTTCTGGTCTATACAGCATGGCATTCTTGCCTGTATCAGCTCAAATACCTGCCCGAGTTTTGGCCGGCAATTTGTTCGCGTGATATTCGCTGCCCATATCCTATCTAGGCAAGGTCAGGTTGTAGTCCTCAATTCACGAAGGCAACCACCCTAGCTCGACGGAATACACAGGGATAGCGCCCACCGCCTCCATCAAAAAGCTATGAGGCAGAGAACTCGGAGGGAAGGTATGAGCACCGTCTGAATGTGTCTATGGCCTAGTGATGGATGGTTTTGCATAGTGGTTCCCGCAAGGGTAGCGAGTTCGAGTACGAGTGTGCTCACAAGAATTGGTGGTCCTACGTAATGCCACAGGTAGCTCCTGTTTTTGTACATCTTGCGTAAATATTATGCGTTCCAGTCGTTCCCATGTTACGGCGGATTTCTGTTGAATCGAGCTCACCAGTCTGAAAGTCAATTGACGCAGTGTACCACGACACCAAAGCTTGATGAGGAACCATTCGTTGGAATTTCTTGGAGAATGTGTCCTCCTGGTTGCTGGATAACCCCCTTGGCGTCTCTATTGCCATGAGGCCCGCAACTACGCATACCGGAGGTTGAAGCTGCGGATTACACCGAACGGCCCCACATCTGCCGCTCCATCCGGTGGCTGTGGATACCGGCACGCACCGCAGGATTCTGCAAGCATGCCCGGCCTATTAAAACACACTCCTCAGTATAGGCGCGACGTGTATGCCGGAGTCGGAAGAATTGAACGCGATTCTTTGAAAAGTTGAGATTGATCGAGTATATCCTCCGTCCTAGCGATTCTCTCCGATGAAATATAATGGATGACAAAGCAGGGAGGCAACCGATATCTTAGCGTCACGAGAAAGTTTGACTGGCATCGGTATTGATATTGTCTAACGTGCAGCACCAAGAACTTGGACACAGCTTCTCGAATCAATCGAAGAGAGAGAAGCAGGACAGGCCATGTGTTTAAATGGTTGGCTCTCATCTGTCAAACTTTGCCTGCGCTATTTACCCTCCAGGCCGCCAAGCCCATTGGGAAGCATAAGAAGGCGCAGTCCTCGCCCTCGTCTGCCAAGAGCACAACCACTGCCAAGATATTGGAGAATTACCACAACAGCAAGCAGAGTCGTTGACAGCTACACCATCTGGCTGTAGCGATCGTCAATCGGCCGCGTTGCTACGTTGAGCACAGCCTCCCATCCAAGTTTGACGATGCTCTTTGCCACGCCCAATCACCTTGGATCTTATCCACGTTGAGATCCAGACTGGTTTTGAGCCCAAGCCGTATCCATGACCGGGAACCGTGAACCATTCTTTATCGAGAACAGCTTCGAATGAGCTATCGGAGCTTTGCCTTGGCTCGGAGAGTCGATAATAACCAAGAAGCGAGGGAAATAGCCAACCTCTTGGCGCTATGAAAGTCGCTTCCTCCATTCTTTCTGATCTCAAAACTCCATATAGCAAAATATTTGAGCTAATAAGCGTGCGTGAAATGATCCGCTCTGGTCGTTTGAGGCCTTCAGATATGATAAAACATTGGTTAGTTGCCCCCCAATATGCAGGTACGAGGTACTTATTGACAACAAAAAAGAGTCGTATGTTCAAGATATGTTCCGCATAGACGTGTGTATGACCTTGAGAGTACACGACTAGAGGTATAAGTAATGTGGAGGTGTGCGGCCGCTACCGTTACCCCATATTCGTTTAAATCTAGACGCCAAGGTTCTCCAATAGCACCCTCACTCCATGAACCGAAGAAACCTAGTCCTCGGCCCCTTCCTCAGAACAGCCGATCTCGAGGTCTATGGCCAAGATTTACCACCCATGATGGGCAGCAAGGTAAGTAGTCCATCAATTAGGCCCACGTGGACGAGATTTGCGCTTGCTATTCGACATCTTCGTTTACCTGCGCGAGTGCTTTATCTCGTCAAATATCCCCTATATAATGACCGGGTGGAATGTTTATCGAGACATTTTATAAAATTATGATACGATATACCGGGCTTCGTTTATACAAGTGTAAGGTGTCTTTGCTTCAACTGTCAACCTAGCAAGGCAAATTGAAACGTATATACGCTCTCAGCCCGCCATGGCCATCTTCAAAGGCTTCGTCGAGAGGCTCAAGTCTTTCAGTCCACAGGAAAGAAGAGCCATATTCTTCTACATCTGCGGTATCATGCTGTACAAGTTCGGGCTTGAAGCGTTCAACGGGTCAATCACCGCACTCGCCACGAACCGTTACGACTACGAAAGCGACACCAGGGGCACGCCATCCCGCACTTTTGAGCGACTCGGTCTCCTCCAGGGACTGAACCAAGCCACGCAGTGTGTCGGCTCCATCTTGATTGCACCTCTCATCAAACACTACCCGACGAAGAATGTTCTCTCAGCAGCCATCGTCCTCTTTGGTCTGATGACGGCAATCCTGCTCATCCTCGATGCTGCGACGGGGGGTACTTTTGTTCCAGAAGCGTACCGAAAGAAGCACCCCAAAGATGAATGGTCTTACTACGGAGATTACAACAACGACGCCATTATACCCATCTACACGGTCACGGGCATCGCGTATGGCATGGTTGAGCTCATCCGCCGCGTTATCCCGCGAGATATCGTCGGAGGGAACGTTCAGAAACTTCGTCAAATGGACAGTTTGGTACACATTTTTTACGAGGTCGCCGGTACATCAGGGGCCTTCGTCACAGCGCTGGTCCTCATTCCCAATCTCGGCAATAATCGCTCCTTCGTCATCACCCCAATCTGCTTCTCTCTCGCGGCAGTTCTGTGGTTCTTTGTCGTGGACGGCAGCCACGACCGCAACGCCCTCGCGCGAGCTGAAGCCCGCAAAAGCAATTACTTAATCAATATTGGCAAGGGCTTCCTCCTCTTCTTCGAGTCCATATGGGTCGGCGCCAAGATCCTGTTCACCTCGACGAGATTCGTCTGGCTGGTTCCGGCATACGGTGTAGCCCTTTATGGGCACCGATATCTCGAAAATGGCATCGCACCCCAAGTGGCACGACGGTACCTGGGCAACTCGGCATGGTCACAAATCATGGTCGGCGGCTCTAATTTTGGTGAACTCCTGGGTGCGCTGTTCGTCTTCCTGTTCACGAACGTGATCAAGACGCCCATCCCGTGGCTTCGCTTAGATGCCCTGATGTTGCTCATTGTTTGGTACATCCCCTATTGGTACCCGCCCTCGGGGCAGGTCGGCCAGGCCTGGATCGTCGCCGCCACATTTTTGCCAGTTTCGTTCGGTTGGGCCGCGGGAGACGTGTCTCTGGCCGCTTTTATCCAGGCTTCTCTCGCCAGGCTAGAGGACAAGGAGAACAGGGTTTCGCCTCTCGGGGCGGTTATGGCGTTCTTGTATTCCTTCTACATTGTCACATATGCGATTGCCGGCACCTTTCTCGGAAGATACATCGATGGCGTGTACAACCGAACAGGATCAGTGCGAGAGGCGCTGGTGAATACCGCAGGAGTGCACTTCACTGTCATCATGGTCACAGTGTTTGCATCGACGTTTATTCCCAAGGGTTCTCGGTGTTTCAACCCCGAGATGCTGGATGACACGAAGTTGGACGAGGACATCGAAGAGTGCCTACCGTTGCCATCTGACAAGGATACCAAGAGCGATGTTGAGCTGAAAAAGGAGGCGCCCGTAGTTGTCTTTTGATGATCGAAGACATGGGATCTGTAGTGTTCTGAGAGTGTTCAATTTCCGCGGCTTTATTTTGGACTAAGAGAGTGTTGATATTTGATGTCGCAGAGACCGAATCAGCTTCTTTGAATGGATTCCCAGAGTGCAACGTTGCTAAGTTCCACAAATATTCAACTCATTACAAAAGAAATGTCACCTGCCGTGGATGCAACGTATTTGTAGCCTTGCCCTCATACAAAAGTTCACATTAAGTTCAGGCACCCGTCCATCCAAGATTACAGACCTTGACGGCAAGGAGAACTCTCAATTCACATTACCCTTGAGAACCCAGTCCCTTCCGCCTTTGCTTCAGAGGTCAGGCATAAGGCAAGTAGGCTGGTCTACCCAACTACATAAATTGCAATGACGTGGACTGCGGCAAATGTACCCGGCGCTTAGGGAGTTGTCTCATCCTCCAGTGTCTGCTAAGAAACAGAACTCAGCTCCACTCACCTGTTTACATCTCTACCATTTCGCTTGTATGCTCTTACAGTTCGGCCAGTCTTGCCTGAGATTGAGAGTTTGATCTCAAAGACGTTTGTAATACTCCGAGTCTCCTCAATGACGCAGTTAAGTCGGCCACTCCGTGGCATTATCATCGTCTTGTATCAAAGCGTCTCTCGGCAGGAGGCCTCTACGAAAAGAGGAAAATTAGCGATTTTGCGATGGACCGGCAAGTGAGTGTGGTTCTCTCCTTGGCCATCAAATCAGGGCAAAACCAATTGCCTCCCCAGTACCCACGAAGTTTTACGCGATCGGCAATCCCCAACGTCAAAGGTCGAAGGCGCATTAATATGGAACCCCTGAGCTCTTGATGGGCTATCAAGAGCTCGGCAATTGCCACCGAATCTCGGCGCAGGCTAAAACTAAGACAGATGTTTCCCTGCTTGCGAAGTTCGGGACTGAGCCTCGTGGTTGCGGCTGATTCGGTTCCGTGCCCGAACTGTGCGAGAATGAGGCAGGGGGTCCAATCATTCGGGGGTTAGGCCACGCAGCCTCTGATTCTTGACCTGTCACTCTGGCAGGTCTCGCGTGGCAAAAAAGACCCTGTGGAGAAGTTTGAAGTCGACTAAGCATACCGAAAAGGGTGATGAACGCTATGGGCGCCGACCTGCCGTGCCTGTCAATTAACCCACTTGAAGAACAATGTTTCGCTTCAGCTTTCGTAACTGGGTTCTTGCGAATAACGGGCAGGATATCACGAGAGGAAAAAGAAAAGATGGCATACGTCAAAGCGCGCGTAGGCACACAAAAGGGACCAATGTGGCTGTGTCTTCACCGCGTGTTTCGATTGTTTTTCCCGCGTTCGGATGAGAGGTGAGCAGGATGGAGCGGCAGCGGCAATGGCGATATTTCAAGAATTTGACTGGGGTCCATACTGGATATCATTTGTTGACTGTTCCTCCGGGTCGAGTCCCATCCCGTGGGGTGCCTGAATGATCTACGTTCATGGTCCCGTTTCGCAGGCATCTCCCTGCTTCAAATCTCAACCATCCCAACCCCATGTCAGCCCAGGCTCTTCGTCCATTGCGCCTTTTCTGACAGATTGAACAAATAGTCACATACTTAAGGAGTAGTCAACATGCTGTTGAGGCATGCAGCCAAGCATCACACGGCGACCACTCGATGGTCGCCGTCCTACACAGAGGAGGCATGCTCCTTGGCCCGTCCGGGCCCTTCCGGGAAATTGCTTGATGCCGGCTTTGACAGGGATTCAACCCACCCGCGCTCGCCAACGTGGAGTTAGCGTCTGCTGAAAACTTGAGAGTGACAAGCCTAGTGGAAGAGCTGGGGATGAAGGCTGCCACAGATCCTTGCCGGGCCATCATCTCTGGGTCTCACGGCCTGGCTAGCTCGCTAGTGGAGGATCATCTCGAATTTTGGCCCACCGGCCTGAGCTCTGTAGCTTTGGCATAATACCACAGAGTTATCATATCTTCAGCACCCAACAGCACCCCCCAAGGAATCCCCCAAAGTGAGAAGTGATATCCCACCCTCAATCACTCGGCAGCCCAGGCTGCAACGAAATCTGTAAGTTTCAGTGCTGATTGGAGAAGACGGGAGATATCCCAGATGATCCCGGAGATCCGCCCTCGTTCGCAAGCTTTTCTCGAAGAGGGAATTGAAATCCGCATCTTGCGTGGCATTCCGCGTCGCACCCCCGATCCCGATTCCGAGTTGTATCCGGGGCAAGGACTGTCGTCAGTCGCCGGAACATCTCTGGGCACGGCCTCTCGATCCCGGGGGAACCACCACAAGTCCCGTGGAATCCCACTTACCGCCAGTACGGATATGGCACGGCTTTCAAGAGATATGAGACGTCTTAGCTAGTTAGTCTGGTTTAAAGATTGATAACGAGCACAGATTCGAGACCGGTCGATACCAAACAGTTATCTACCATGGAACTACCATGGGAAGAACAAATCAGAGGGGAGAAATTGGGCCCCTAGGGCAGCAAGACACGCGGATCCGCCGGCCGGGCCACCCGTAGGAATGGCGATCCGTCAATCATCTAAACTCTCTTGACAGCCCCATCAGCAAGTCATACCAAGGGCATGGCGGTAGGTAGTCGGCAAAACGGTGAAGGCAGAGAGGCAGCCTTTGGCGGAAAACAGCGGTTTTGGGCGGATCAGAAAAAGCAAAGCTGAGTCCTGGACTGCAGATGATCTCTTCACTAGTTTTTGGTGCTGAACCGAAAACTCGAATGATTCTGTGAGACAGAAGACACTGTGACACTTTTTTATCCTCTCACACTAAGCCCTAATATGAAACTGTGAGAGGAAATGCTTGCTACCCAAGCCCGTAGATCACATCGGCTAGACTAGGGTTTGTGCAGTCCGTATTGGTCACGAGGGATGCAATCACTAGGAACCAAGGGCCAAGATCCTCGAAGCACATCCAGACTGCCCCCGCTTCCAGCTTGGGCCAAACTCTAATGAGGTTCTGTAGGGTACGCTACAAATTACCCCATGCTTCCAGACATCCCCAGTCAACTTCTGGATATCCCATGCAGCGACCCACGACGCCCATGCCTTATCAAACGGCACAGAAAACTTGTAATACTCTGTTTCCTATCCGTAATGGCGACATCTGAACGCAGGGCAAGGGAAAGCTTCGTCGCCACTCGCAACAACGGAGCCCCCGCAGATGTCGGGCTGCATGCCACACCTTCACCGGAATGACGAGAACTGAAATGATCTCCAATGCTTTGTCTTGAGCAGCCCTGGATGTCCAGGGGGTTTTCGCTCTGAGCTTGGACCATCTCCCAAGGATCCAACGACGATGCTACACTGCGGCACGACTATTTTGGTCTAGACACTGAAAGGCATCCTGCAAGCCTGACCGAGGATTTTCCACCTACATAATGAAAGCTTCACGCTAAAAGATGCGATGATGCTCCTTCTCTAAAGTATGGGTGTCAACGGATACGATTCAGCTACTAGGCCGAATCTCCTTCAGACCGCTACCTTCCTGATCTTTCTATTTGACGGTGTCATTTACAGACACACGCCCCCAATCCAAGCTAAAAAGTCACCTTGCCGTTTACGCATCTCTCTGCATCTTCAAGTCGCAACTTCTTCAACAAACGACGTACGCTTTGATTCCACTTCCATCATACCGGTGTAGTCTATCACAGAACTCCAGGTTATGGGCTTCGCCAATGCGCGCTTATAACATCCGCTCACCTTAGTTCGTTATTAGACGAACCGTCGGAGCCGAAACTCGGAAACAATCAACCCGAAAGAGGTGTCTCCCTCTGTTTAACTGGCCAGCCAACCTTCACCATCAGCAACCCAGAGGCATTGCCCGCGAGGAAAATGGAAATCACTGAACTTGTCAACAACAAGGAGCGCTTCCGTCGCTTCTACTGCAGTTGGAAGACCTGCGAGAAGGTAATGTCTATTGCTTCCCGGAACCCTCAGTGCGACCAGAAGGTTATCAATCTCTGAAGAGTATTATACTTACCTACGTATTCCCACAGGGATTCAACCGCAAGTCGGACCTTATCAGACATTTCCGAATCCATACCAATGAGCGGCCGTATCCATGCCCAGCACCTGGCTGCGAGAGGAGTTTCATCCAAAGAAGTGCATTGACTGTACATCTCCGTACGCACACTGGTGAAAAGCCATACGAGTGCCAATATCCTGGATGCTACAAACGGTTCGCAGATGTGAGTGAATCTTTGACATAATCAAGAATGGGATTTCGACTCTAACGATCTCAAGTCGTCGAGTTTCTCGCGTCATCGTCGGGTGCATTTAGGCAAGCGTCCGTATACATGCGCTATTGAAACCTGTCGTAAGAGGTGAGTAATAACCTTCGACTTCCGCAACCATATGGACTCCAGCTAATAGGGAATCAGTTTCTGTCGCAAGGTGGCTTTGATTCAACATCACAAGATCTACCACGATTCGACGTCCGGGGAGGAATCCGACGCGTCTTTGGAGGAACTCACCAACACTTCGAAAGACGACAGCCCCATGACGAGTCCGATTTCAATGCCAGAGCATGTTGATAACGATACGACGAGCCCCATGCAAACGATAGCGGACCGTCAATCTTCCCCTGACTACATGCATCACACGACACGCCAGCTCAATAAATCGAATGAGCTGTTTTACGAGAGCCAAGCCAGTGAGCAATTGGCATTCCCGACCATCCAACCGGAGTATGAGTACGAAGAGCCACAGGGCTTCTATCAGGACCCTCTCTACTCGAGCTGCAATGAGGATGTCGTATATCAACGGTCAAATCCCTCCTGGAACTTCTATCCGTCTCCCCAGTACTCAGCCTGCGGGTGCAACCCACATCCAGCAAATGTACCTTGGAGTCCAGCGGTCTTGGCTGGCAACGCAGAGGTCGGCAACGGGACTGGATACCTGCTTGCGCAAGATCACGCGCCTTCCATGGTCGGCTTCCCTCCAGCTATTATACCACGCCATGCCCAGAATATTCAGGAGGCGGAGTGGCCGAGAGGTCAGGTGTGGTACAACGACGGGATGCAAATGTCTCCCGAGTTTGGCCCGACCAGAATGACAGACTCTTACAGATTCGACTGAATCATACATAATAATTCGCGAGCCAGTCACGCATGGGTTTTTGGTCGGTGGTCATAGCACAAAGTGCGCTGCTTTTCACACACTTGATTTATATGAGCGAACTGTTCCATCTTAGAGCACAAATCTATCTATGTAATAATCGAAAAAGCAACAAAAGAATACAAAGAATCATATACGCGAACCGGTCTATCTCTTTGCGCCTTAACGTGATGTCAGAATTCCATTCAAACTCGGCTGATCTTGAAGCCGCCTGGAACCCTGTACTGGAAGAAGCCCTCGGGGTCATACTCCTCCGCAACTTTTCGGATGTGCTCCACATTGGCTTTTCCGTAACTTCCAATTGCATCTTGCCTAGAGTCCGCATAGGGAAGGTATCTGAGCTCAGTGTCGCTACCAACTGACTTTGAGAGGTCTTCAATTCTCTTGTTTGCGGCTGCAACGTGCTGATAAACCCGCGGGAAGAGCTCTTCGCTGTTTGATCCTAGTAGAGTCACTCCCATGACGAAAAGAACCTTGTTGCGCGAGTCTCGCTCGAGTCCGAGCATGTTGCCCCCCTTCTGCACGCCAATATCGGCAAAGTATGACGGGATTGGCTGGAAGTCGAGAATCGTGGTAAAGTTCTTTGGTCCGAGGAGAGCCTTCATGTCTGCGACGAGGCCCTCGTGCTGTTCGATGCAGTACCGCAGGACTCTTGGATCGTTAACTGCGGTCAAAGCCCCAGCTCCAGCGTTTCTAGGAGGAAAATCATCAGCAAATCTTGAATTCGTATCAATGTGACTAGACGTATCCTGATCATTCAACTCACCGATTCTTGCCGGACAGCGCGGTACTGTTAGCAGCCTCGACAAGCGTCACCGACTTCTCCATAGTCGGTGCTGACGTCGGGATGCGGTCGAAGGCGTCGAATGCTGTACTGTTGGCCTTGTTCATGGTGTTGACCTTAGTCGCCCTCCAAATGCTGGCTTCGGTTTCTGGATCGTAAGTGACGACAAGGAGCACCGCGTTGTCCTGGAACGACCGGTCCAAATCGGCGAAACGAGCAACCGCATCCACGAGCTCACCGGCGTGCTCTCGGCTAAAGGTCTTCGTCTCCATGTGCAAGTTCTCAGCCGGAAACGCTGCGAGATCGAAGCGAGTGACGATACCGAAGTTGCTGCTGCCTCCCTTCAGAGCCCGCCATAGGTCCGAATTAGCCGACGCGTTGGCATTGACGATCTCCCCGCTCGCTAGGACCACCTCGTAGTTGACGACACTGTCACAGGCGAAGCCCGTACGCCCCGTGTACCACGAGATGCCACCGCCGAGAAGAAGTCCACCCACGCCTACGACAGATTCTCTTCCGCCCGTCACTAAGACTCCGTCCTTTTCTAACGCGGCGTACACAGCACCCCATCTCGCCCCGGTCCCGACGTGTGCGACGTTGGTAGCTGCGTCGTACGTGGTGGTGTTGAGGTGGGTCAAGTCGATGGTCACACCGTCGACAATGTTGTTCTGATTATCACCCCCGTGTCCGCCGCTGCGGATGGCCACATGCCAGTCTCCGGCACCATCACCGGCGGATTGAAGAGCGGTAAGAGTTTTGGAGACCTCAGCGGCGGTGCTCGGAAGAACGAAGCACCAAGGCTGTTTTCGGGTGGAGATAGCGTAAGAGCCGTTCTGAACGAGGGTTTGGTAGAGGGGAGAAGACGGAAAATGAATGACGTGGGATAAGTTGGCGGCCACGAGGGCGTCACACTAAACACAGATTAGTCGAGGATGATCGGGGTGCTTTACTTGGGGAAGGGTTGCGGACTGCAGGGAAGCCAGAGGGGCCTTGGGTGCCGTTATTCGCCATCATTTGTTGCCCTTGCGCACCGCTAAACAGCAGTAGCAGTGTGGCAGTCGCAATGCCTGCTGACGATAGGGATAGGTGAGAAAGCATCATGATGAGTTCGAGAGCTTCTGGTAAGTCAACATACCCACTTCCTGGCACCCCCCTGTTTCTGGCACCCACAAAAACGCGAAAATCCACCACAACCCAATGCCCACCCCCAACCTCCTTTTATCACAACATTTTCAATTCGCGTCCAAATGGGCTCATCTTTTGCACATGTCTTCTTCTATATATAATGCCTCAATATACCGAAGATCAGCTTCGTCAGGCTCTCGAGGA